AAAATTTCTTATCTACATTTCAGCTCAATTTTACATGAAATATGTAGCGTTATGGTCAAAGACAAATATATAGAACCATAACGTTACAGATCTGCAGCTATGAATACCCTTTTTCATCAAATGAAAAATATTTTAATTACAAAATTAACACAATTATAACCAGCAATATGGAAACTTCTTTAATTATTCAAGCAAAATTGTGTATTTTTCATTTGTGTAGAATAGCTTCTACATGGAAGTCTATCCAGTTGAACATTTTGAAAATCTCTTATACATTTCTGAAAAAGAAAGTCTACCAGCAATTCTTTCAGTATTCTCTTTTGAAAGGTTTTATTAAATAAGCAACAATACTAAAGATTTGTTTCAAAGCAAACCAGGCAGCTAGGACGCTAAGTAGTGCATCCCTCACAAAAGAGCAAAATCAAGGCAGCATATTCAACAATGATTCTGATTCAAATAATATATTTTTTGACTATATTACCGTTCTTCAACTCAAATCAACAATATATTTTCAGACTACACCCACCAGTAGTCCATATTCACAGGGGCTCCCAGTGTTTTTGATTTTACCCTATATATGTATACACACAAGCTTGATAGACTACAGTGTATGCCTCAATAGCAATATGGAATTCAGTGTGAAATCACTAATTTTTGTAGGGGTTTAATTTTCGTGGTTTTTAAGGTATGAAGAGACCCATAAATTTGTATCCACCACCAAATGCAATTTTTCACATATATTACTACTGAACAATTCTTCAACAACGAAATCATATCTCCATGAACAAATGTATTTTCCTCAAACTGCAAGGTATTTTATTGAAAACACTGTGACCCCTCGAAAATGTGATTTTACAGTAGTCAATATTGTCCCCATGTGCCCAACTTGGAGGATGGTTCGTACCTCACACATTGACCTCAGATGTCAATGGTGTTCTACCTTCTAGCTAATTCAGTCATGTGATCTGATTTGCATTGCTTTCAAAATGTTATACATTTGAAATCCCTGGGTTTCATACCTTGTGGCATTGCCCAACACAATATTGTTTTTGCTTTCAAAGACTATTAACATAAGGTTGTAATCAAAACCACTATACATGGGAGAATTAGACAAGTTAACAAACTATTTGAAGAATTTTATGCAGAACAAAATATAAAATGATACAGTACAAAAGTTTTTTTGGTGGAGCTATGTAGCTGATGTGATGCCTCCACCTATCACATCCAAGGTTTGAATGGAGCATAGGGAAGTCAGCCAAGGATTGATGATTGCATACATGTATGCACTCCTTTGTGTCCTCTTCTTCTATATTTATATATTTAATCAACCATCTTAACTCATTTGGGTGCCATTTTCATGTACTTTAAATTTCTGTATATTTACCAAGACATGACTTTTGATTTTTGCATATTACTAAGTTATAATAACCTCCTATCTCACCCATCCCCTTTAAAATCACAGGTCCCATTTTCAGTGATTTTCCCATCCTGGGTGTTGGCTAATTTTGCCGTCTGCATTATAAGTGCAATAATTCTGATTGGAAAACCAAAATTCCTCTTTTACACAATATTAATGTACTTAAATGCTGTAATGAACTCATTTAAGACCCTCATCATTCATCGAGTTGTGGAGAATTTCTTTTTTTATTGGAGATTAATTCCTGCTGTAACTTGATTAGATGCAACATTTCATGTAACCAAGAGTCCCGGTGGATCGTATTACGGAACGTGTCCCCACCATCAAATCGTGTGAGACACACACCCAGCTCCACTTGTATCTGTCAAATTAGATTGCGGACCAACTGTTTCGAATCCAGGTTTCTCCGGCAATCTCATGACAGACGACAGTGGGTAACACCCTAGCCAAGTCATACATGGGAAATTCTGTGATAATTTTGTTATTACCAATTATCGAGCTCTTTTCAACACCCAGTGCAACACATTTTTCATTCTTGATTTCATGCATTGTATTCTAGTGCACTAGTTTAGGAAAACAATAGAATTGTACTGAATTCATTTATTTTTAGACAGTAATGGTAAAAGTCATCTAGTAATTTGACAATACATGTATGACAATTTTTCTTGTTTGAACTGTAAAATTAGGATTTTGTTTTGGGTTGGTGGTGTTATTTTTCTTCCTATATGACATTTTTTGAAATTCATCACAAAATGACATTGGGCAGTGTTGATGATGGACAACCCTCTACTGATGCAAATGTTTTAATTAGCAAGTTCTTTTTTTATTGGTTTTTGGGATCCTCCTTTTTTGACATTGAATCAATCAGTGTTGAATACGTTATAAAAAGCAATTTTCTTAAAAGCCCAGGATTCTTGGCACAGTTCATTTTGTTTTATGTTTTGCTATTTGGGTTTTTATTAATATATTTAATTAACACAACAGAAAAATATTGCAAAGCATTTCCAACAATGTCATAAAAAAGAAAAACAAAATATCACTCAAAAATGTGTCATACAAGGACTCAATCCACTCAATTTTAGGAACACTAGTACTATGAAATCACAAAAACTTAAAATATAGCTATGGTGAAAAAAAGAGGTTTCTTCTGCATTCTTGTAAGAAAACATTTTTTGTGTTTTTTTAAAACAGATTTTTTATCTTTTTTCTTCAGGATCATATAAACATCAAAGATTGCCAATCAGAGTATTGCTGCAACATTTGGAGAATCTGATCACTGTCAGGTAATTTAACGAACAGACAAAACAAACATTCACAAGTGGGAACAGCAGAGAAACACAAAACCAAAGACATGTTCAGAGAGATTTCAAAAGAATTCTACCAATGCACTGATGAAGAGGAACATTGAAGTCAGCTCTGGGTTATTTTTTTTCCTGGAGTACTTTCTTTTTTGACACCCTTTGTATTCTTTTGGAACAAAGAAGTAAATTTAAGTGTAAATTCTTGACTCAATTACCAAGTGCTGATCTGCAAGATTCTGTTAGAGAGTTCTCTTATGGGCGGACAACTCACAGTTATTCTGTTGTCAACTGTTTGAATGATTATATAAAGTGTGTACTTTTGTCACATATAATAATATATACTGTAAATTTGTACTTGTTTTAAGTAAATAACATGACACCACTTTTTCTTCTTACAAAGGCCAAATGAATTGTTTACAATTATGTCTAAGCGTTTGTACAAGAGATACACATTTATCTTTGAAGAACTAGAAAAAGCGCTTGAAATTCTTTTACATGATCATTACATAGAATATTGTGCAATAAGTAAAGGGTACTTCAAATGAAATATAAACTTCTGAATCTTAAATCTGAGTGCTCATCAACAAACAATGGCACCATTGTCACTTAAGTAGACAATATACTCAACTTTTTTTTTGAAACTGCCTTGCTTACAACAAGGGTTGTGACTAATAACAAGACCTTTGCAAAACTGAACAACTTTCATGTTTATAAGGTGTTTTTAAATAATTCCAGAAATTTTTTTTTTTAAGAAACCACTGTGGCAACATTGATGCCCTGATTTAATTTTTCTGTTCTTAAATAATGAAGTCTATAGGTTAATAAATATGCTGAGTTATCCAGTCTGATATCCTGGTACTCTACCAAAAGATACTGGCAAAGAGTAAGGGTTATAACAAGGTCATATAGGTCTTGTAGAACTGCAAGCAGACAAAAACAGCCAATGCAGTTTCTGGGCAATTGCTCAATGGAAAAGAGAAGGTATCAGCAATATTTCTACATGCTTTTATCTAAAACCTTTGATACTTCACAATATACTTTAAAAAAAAAAATCAATTAAGTTATCCTAAAACAGAGTACCAGATCCAAGCATTGTTAAAAAAAAATCCATTTACAACCTCCCCCTCCTTCACAATTGCTTCTGTAATCTGATGCAGGTCTTTTTTACTGCAGTATACCAGTATACAGTAAAACTAGCTTATAAGGAAGTTCCAGGGATGGATGATTTTTTAAAGTTTTGTGTGAGTTATTGGTGTGTGAATCACACAGACTTGTCACGTAGGCATATTTAATGAAGGGTGCTAGCGCTTCATGTAAAATATGCCTACATGCATGTCTGTGTGATTCACACACCAATAATTTACACTAAACTTAAAAACATTCCTTATATTTACATTTTACATGTTTGGAAGCAACTAAAATATACTCAATATTTGTATTTCTTGCTGCCCTATATCGTTGCATTTTTACTAACTTCGCTGCAGCCTCATTGTGACGTCACGTTAACGCATGTTTCTCTGGATATATTTCTACGTATGAGTATACACGAAAATGTATTCAAATCAATTTCACAGTTGGCCTAGTAGAAAAACACAGTGAATGTAAATACATGTATTTCATTATAATATTCATTAAGTTTACAATATATATTTTAAAGTAACATGGAATGAACATCACTCCCTATAAGCATTAATTCGTTATAAGTGAGTTCACTATAAGTGTGTTTTACTTTATGTGTTTTGAATCAAATGGTGTTTTGATCTGTAGCTCTCTTTCTCAATTTTCTCAACCAAAGAGCTACAATATTGGTATTAATAGTTTTCTTATGAACATGATGGGTTTTTTTTTTAATTAACAGAAATCATTGACAAAAAAAGAAAGAAATCAAATACAGTCAATCCTCATTATCAAGAACTCAAAGGGACAAAAATAAGGCTTCAAGATAAATAAAATATCCAAGGATTTGATGAGAGTAAAAAAACATGGAGAAGAGCATTTAGGATTGCCAATGCCTGTGTAAATTTCCCTGGTGTTCACGATACTGTTGTTCAAGATGCCAAAGTTTAAAAGTGTACTAGAAACGGATGGCAATATTTCTCAAAAATGATGTATATATACATGTAAATAGTATGTTCCCAGAAACATTTAAATTTGTGTGTGTATAAGTAATGATGAAATATATCTAATGTATGATTGGGTACTCCTCTAGTAGTACCAGAAATTATCAAAACAATGCAATCTGTAGTATGGCTTTAGGGATGAAAAACAAATGCTAAACTTACAGTTTTTCTATGAGTTGTGAGGTGGCTTCTCCTCTGAATGGATCCTTCTGGTCCAGTTCTTTAACTTTCCTGGCTAACTCTCTTATATGCCTTGATAGTTTGTTGTACCTAAAGAAAACCAAAAATAATGATATTCATTATACTTCTGTTAAAATGTTTCCAATATAAAGTTCAGAAGGTAAAATAGCTATCTTTATAGTTCATGCATAGCAAAGCTATACCCCAGGGTATAGTTTTTGCTATCCACCCTCGGAAAATTTTCATGCAATTTTTGCCTCCAATTTTGATTTCCAGTGATAAATCTATTGACTGATGATGTCATAATGACTTCAGTAGCATTGTGACGTCATCAGGATTTCAGATTATTCTTGCAGTATTATCTTACTCCAAAAAATTCAAACCTCAGAAATTATATCATACATCTGACAGTATAAAATGCTTATCCACTGTTTGTGAGTGGGATAGCTCTTTTATCAAACCCTTGACAGGGACTATTCCCCTCGGGCAAGCCCTCGGGGAATAGTTCCCTGTCGCAGGTTTGATAAAAGAGCCATCCCACTCACAACCAGTGGATAAGTGTATATTAAACAAGGAAAGAGGGTAATTTTTGTGTCTGGATCATGAAATAAAGTAGCTCTCCATTACTAGTCATGTACACTATAACCACCACTTTACACTCCTAGTTTCTTTAATCCTTAAATTTTCTTTAATTTTCTTCAAACAACCAAGATTCTTTTAGCCTTTGGATGACTTTCTTCCCCAAGTTTAGGCCAGTCAAGGTCGGTCATCAAATGTAACAGAATGAGAGAAAAATATAAGGCTGGGTATGGGATAAAACTGATGACCCCTGCATAACTAGTCGGGTACTTTAACCACTTAGCCACTCAGATCAATATCCCTATAAGCCTACATATACTATTCACACACCTACCATGTGCAATATTTAATTGGTGCATGACACAGTGTACAACATGGAGAATTATCAAAAATCAGGGTAAATAATGTATCTGATGGTGAAACTCTTAGGGCAAGCACAGTTCATTTTTGTACAACTTAGCACACCTCAAATGTTGTTTTGCATTCTGCTAATGACTTTACACTTTAGTAAATTCCTTGTGTATTTACTGTGTATCATACATGAAAGTTAATCTTTAAAGAACAATATTAAAACCATATACATAGGTATTGAGATTCCTAACTTCCCAGATTTCCCAACAAAATCAGAAATACCAGGCAGAGCCATTAAAGTGACATAACTATGATGTCACATACAATGTAATGTTTAATGAGGACACAAACAACAGTTTTATGGTGTGTAAATTGCATTAAATCATTGTTTGTAAATTTTCAAGTACACTGTCGCTATGCTTGCAGCAACCATGTTGCTATGCACTTCAAAGAATTACAAGGAGTTTGGAATTTTTTAAAAAAAATTCTGAACAATTTGCAGATTTCAACACAAATTTCCTCCGTTTGTACATGTTGTCTATGGAACTCACTATGCAAACTTGGCTTTGGGCTGCCTCGCTGCGACTCTTTTTAATAGCGAGCACAGCGAGCGTTGCGAAGCGACGCTCGTAACTGCGAGCTCTAACGACAACGCCTGGGCGAAGAGAAAATTCGGACTACTGCACATTCATTCTTTAGAATTTTTTGCCGAAGTAATTTTGACCCACAATGCATCACTTAGCAAAGTTGCGTTCTCGCGAGAATGACGGCAAATGTTCAACAAAAAGTTTACCCGCCTTGATTAAATGGATACATATTGAAGATAAATTGTAAACGTAACTTTTTTCATTAACTTTCAGCGCTGTTCAGTTTTTTCTTGGTATTTGTAACTTACATATGACGTCATGTGACGTCCGAGTCTAGACACACCAAATGTCACGTGCGGTTTGACGAGCCCGATCTAAATTAAAACAAATAGGAGAGTTTGCGCTTGCTCTAACGGTCGCACCGTCAACATATTATTTTGTAGATTTGACTGAGATACCCTGCATTTTTCTGATATATATTGTACAGATAGCGAGACACTTGAATTTAAAAATTAAAAGCAGACAATATAAACAAATACAGAGCAGAATAAATAGTTCTACCTTTCTACATGTGGCGGTCGGTCATGTTCGATCACCAACGGCCAAGATAGCTGAGTCGGTAAAGCACCTGACTAGAGTTTCAGGGGGCTCGGGTTCGAATCCTGGTCTGGTCTGCTGCATTTTTCTCCTTTCCCGTTACTTTTAGTGCTGTTACCAGGATGAGCCTGGGTTGGGGTTTTTGGAAGGCCAAAGACCTTTCAGGAGGGAGGAATGTGGTAGTCGGCTGGGTTCAATCGCTGGTGGCCAAGATAGCTCAGTCGGTAAAGCACCTGACTATTGAGCTCAGGGGGTCCGGATTCGAATCCCGGTCTGGTTAGCTGCATTTTTCTCCTCTCCCGTTGCATACCAAATGAATATGACTTTTTATTCTAGGGCTTTCTTTGCTACTCACTGATAAAACTCAGATGACTGATACTGTGTAACCCCCTGGCAAAAAGGAAACTGAAAACACTATGAGCTCTATATACGTTACTTACTTGGTGTAGTCTTCTCTCTTCTGGATGTAATACTTCTTCAATATTTTGACCTCGTGTAAATTATTGTCGACATCCCATGAAATAAAGTCAACTTTCTTGAGTAATTTCTTCTCATGAAACTTTAGTTTTCTCACCATTATGAATCAATATCTGTGCGATTGTTACATTTCAGTTTTTCTCACGTTGTTTTTTTTTTTTACCGGATGTTATTAAAATGTGAATCTCGAGCCCGATCGAATTAATGGGTTTCAGAAAGGATCATTTGATAGAACTAAAAACAGATAAAATACAGCTTACTCTTACAAACCATTCCAAGTAACGAACAGTGATCGATAAATAGATAAATAAATAAATAAACAAATAAACAAATAAATAAATAAATAAGTAAGTAAATAAATAAATAAATAAATAAATAAATAAATAAATAAATAATTAATAAATAAATAAACAAACAAATAAATAAATAAATAAATGAAAAATAAATAAATAAATAAATAAAATAAAATAAAAAACTCAGTTCACATATAATTTTTTTTAGCTAATTCTTTTTCTAAAAAATGTTATATTGTAGAAAAAAACACTTTCTGATAGATAGAGTCCATAAAAATATATTAAATAACCTAGTTTGACCTGTGCAGCATTTTTTCTTGTGATTACATTTTGACACGTTAGTCCATCAAAGTGCACATACGGTATTTGCGAAACAATGAATAAATATGGTTTAATAACATGCTTCCATTATATTTTGAATATTATAGTTTGACTGTTTAGATTTTAATTCTTATTTATTGACAATTTTGAAGACAGGAACTTTTTCTAAAATATCATTATTTGGCATTTTTGAGGTACATTCTACCGAGAAGCATTAGCAGAAAAATAAGCAGGTTGACATATATTTTTCTTATGCCTACCCATTGCTTGGATGTATATGCATGTTCTGAAATCAAGTTTTTCAAGCTTAAGACCATTTAGTACCAAGTATAGAACTACCTTAATGCAAAAGACATAATTTTTTGCCTCTGATGGGGATTGAACCAGGGGCTCTGGCTTGGCATTCCAGTGCTCTACCAATTGAGCTAAAGGGTTAACCCACTAGCCCTGGTAGCCCAAGCTAGTAGGATGTCATGTATCTTACATTACTACATTATGCCCCTCCAGAGAATGAGAAGTCCTCATCTATTTAGAGTGCCAACACCTGTGGGGCGAAGTTCTGGCGGCAATCACTCTCACCCGCCAGAGAACACCCGGGTCCCTACATGGGCGCCAAATGTAACAGAGACAATTTTGTGCCTCTGCTGGGGATTGAACCCGGGGCTCTGGCTTGCCAGTCCAGTGATCTACCCCGATCACGACAATTTTAAGGAAAGGTATAGCCAGTCAGCAGGGGGTGCTCACTCCTCCATGGCACCTGATCCCTCCTCAGATGTTTTCGGAGGTCCGCGTTTGCTCTGCTCCCGATTTGTATTCCTTCGATCTTGATAACTGAGTTTATTCCCATATTTCATTATCTATGCACATGATTTTTATGTATCAGCTGATGCATGTATTACAATATACATCGGATCGGGAATTTTTTTTCTGAAGATAAAAAATGTATTATTTGTGGAAGAATTGAAGTGATTGATTGTTTCCTTAAAGTAACGATTAACTTAAAGCATATGGTACCAAAAGTACACAAAAGCTAATCGAATCGGAAGGGGACAGCTCGTCTTGAAATTTCCAGCGTTTTGATATTCATTTCTTTTTTTAACCAACCTGAAAAAAAAACAGAGATTTCAAAAAAAAAAATGTACAATGCATTTCTTTCTTTTTATACAAGCCCTTTATTTACTGTTGGAAATACAATGGGTACTAATTGTGCTCCTTTGTTATGCAATGCTGGTCCGTTATTCTATTCTGTTGAAAAAGATTTCATTACAAATATTTCTAATTGAGTAAAAGAATATCCTTGCTGTGGCCTTCAACTTTACATTAGGAAATACATATTTTAAAAAATGACAAATATGCTTATTTTTTTCTCGAGATGCACATTTATCTCAATGATATCAAAGATAAGACGCCAGAGAGTCTGCCAAGTACATTTGTTATAATATATAGCAGGAATACAATGTTCTGCTATAACTAAACATACCGGATCGATGTGGCTGGTCTACGAGGAATGATCACTCCTTGCAGGCACCTGGTCCCATTCCTGGTTGTCCGTTTTAGTTTGTTTGTTTTGTTTTTGCTTTGTTCCCAATTCCAGTGGTTTACAGGATTTATGGCATTAGTAATCGCTGTTCGTAATCTTCGCTTCTCTCATTACTAACAATATACATGTTCATCATTGTCATATAGGATTTACAAATGTGGCACATCATCTAAATCATATAGGAATAGTATTAAGATAATCGCTGTAGCAAAATCCTGAACTTGACTATTTTAAAATGTGAATCCCCACCCCCAGTCTACACCTTTTTTCTCGCACAATCTAGATTTTCTTGTTGATGTTTTTTTTTAAATCTTTTTATTATTATTTTTTTTTTTTTACATTTTTTATTCTTTCTTGACTAAATCCTTTTTTGTCACATGTTATCGTTTACCCTCTGGTCAAAGTGTGTAACAAAATCTGCTCCTTTATAATGTTTTCTGAATCCTCATATCTCTCAGTAGCGGATCCAGAGGGGGGAGTTACGGGAGTTGCACCCCCCCCCCTTGGATTTGCAAAAAAGAGAGAGAAAGAAGAGAGTTTTGTAGAAAATATTCAGTGAAAGACTAATGTTGTAATATATAAAGAAATTTGGTTGTGAAAACAAAATGAAACCCCGCCCCCTTTACAAAATAGGATTTTCGGGTTCGGAGATTTTAAATATTTTCCTTTCTTTCTCAAAAACTGTTAGGTAATTCATACAAGTATTTTTTTCCCAGGTTGATCAACCTCCCAACTTTAAAAATCACTCTCCATCCTGTATCCTTTTGGGTTATTTAACTACATGTATATATGTAAAACGTACGTTACAATAACTCGTCCCCCCCTTTGAAAAATTTCTAGATCCGCACCTGTCTCTGTTAATTTTTTAATTACTATGACAAGTATGATCGTCATTATAATCTTCCTTTTGAATTTCATAACCGTAAAGTAATATACATATAACGCGATAGTCTTTTAAATGTAAATGGTTCTGATATAGACTTTATATACTCCGTTGTGACTGCATGTTCAGCAACAGTTCCAGAAATCCAGTTGTTCTACTACTCTCTTGTCAATCATCAATTCAGATTTGGACTTTGTACGTACATACATATTTACAATTTTGTTTGGTTCTGAACATATATTTGGTACACTGTAAAAATTGTGTTTAGGATTTAAACACTTCCGTGACGTGTTTAGATCTAAACATGTATAGAAATATGTTTAACAACTAAACACTTATGTCTAAACATGTTTTATATCTAAACGTGTTTAGAAATTAAACACGTTCTGCTGTAAAATGCAGAGTTATCTTCCCGGAAATGACACAAATACTCGTATATTTGAACGTTAATTTGAGCGGCCATTGAAACAAAGTAAATCACAAACGGCTTAAGGGACGTATCAAGGAGAGATACTGACAATCCAACGGATAACCATGAAGAAATAATGAAAATCATTTGAAAGGCATCTTTTTACTGCAATATATTGGAGGTATGTTTTCTTTTTAATAAGATTTGCATTATTAAACCACGATGAGCAATGTAAACAGTGCCTTTGAGGTCGTTTATAGACTTGTAGGAGAGGAGGTTATATTGAATTTCATTAAGAATAACTTTTAATTTAAGTATAGTTCCAATGCGACTTGAAAAATTGATGTCATCTTCAATGGGCAGCATACGGTACTTTTACTTAAATCTGACTTTCTTTCCTACAGGTTATGTGAGTAGTCCGGATTGAACTCGAAGCATGTACATGTATGTATCAAAGTACCTGCATCTGTGCATGGCGTCATCTTCAAGTGCAAATTGTTGTTCCGTGATCAACACCAAGAAACGTATTTTTATTAAGTGTATTGGGTTACCCTTAATTCGACAATGTTCGGTGGATTTGAATACATGTACCTAAAATTATCATTTTGTGATTATCCTTGTGCATTTGAAATGGATTACTTTTCGGCAGTTTAATACTGATGGGATATTATATCATGTGGTGCTATGTAGTGCTTTAGGACTGCTGAAAGTTAATCAAGTTTGACATTTTGATGACTGTAATTAATCATATGCAAAATATTATATAAAATAAATATTTTATAATTTTAATTGAAATATCTTTCATAATGCATTATTAAAAAGATTAAAGGAAGTTTTGATATAAAATTGCTAGCTTATTTTATTTTTGTTGCTCATACCTGCGTTATAAATATAATGTATGTCATGCTGATTGAACTTATAGAGATCAAAATATTAAATTTGTGTAAAACGAACATCACACAATTGTAAAGTATCTACATATTTTAACAATCAGAGGCCTTATGATGAATAATTTATATCAGTTAATATTTTGAAAATTTTGACAATATTATGTGCATTAAGTAATATGCTCTTTGTGCCAAAATTACAAGTGTTTATAGTTTTTCTGCAGTTACACTTGTTTTAATATGTTAAATCTAGATATGTTTAATTCCTAAGCACATAATTAAGAAATGTGTTTAAAATTCAAACACTTTTCCAAGCACTTTTTTGTCACCTTCTTTTTTATATGTTTAATTCCTAAACATGTAAAATTTCTAAACATGTTTAGAATCTAAACACTTATGTGCTTCCATTCTAAACACTTTCTCATACGTGTTTAGAAACTAAACATGTTTAGGAATTAAACATATAAAAAAGAAGGTGACAAAAAAGTGTTTAGAAAAGTGTTTGAATTCTAAACACATTTCTTACAGTGTATGCAGATGTAGTTTATTAAGTATCTTTATAATTATCAGGGGACCTAAAGAAATCAGTCTGTCTGTCTGATTTCACTTTTTTTCCTCCTTAGCTCAGTCTGGTTCAAACTTCAGTCATAGACAACGATCCGTCGGTTAAGGATGTACCATGCTCTTGAATCACGGTTTTTAATAAAAATTCAGGTTTTAAACAAAATTGTAAATTACTTTTCTTTCCCAACTCGATTCATTCTGATTTTAGAATGCATTGGCCTTGAACAGATTTTAAGGTCAAAAGTCAAGGTCAATATACATGCTCAATTTTGACAGTACATATACTTATTTCAGGTATATTTTTTATAACGTTGATCTATTCCAACGACAGAAATCGTGAATATATCTATACACATAATGCAAACTTTAAAAATGATTAACTTTTGATCAACTTCGACTCTAGTTAATGAACTATTTATTGGAGAAAATTAAGAGTATATGTCTTTTTTTCTGCGGAAAATAAGCATTCATGAAATATTTTCTAATGTACGTACTTTTTAACCATAACGCCTGCTTAAATTCTTTTTATATTTTCATATAAATCATGTTAATAATTTTAAAATTCTTTCACGAAGACAAATTAAGTAAGAACTTCAGATGAAACTTAATTCTATTTGAATACATGTATTTCTTTTTTGCGAAAAACAAGGTGACAGGTGCCCGAAAAATCAAAGATTCAGACAGTAATTTAAATTCTGTATGTAAAAGTCACAAAGAACGTATTAATAAAATTGGTATATGAATTATTCATTTTACAAGTCGTGTGCCAAAAGCTTTCAACCACAGGTAGAATGTTCCAACTCGCGCGAAACGGGACTTGATTTTATATCAACAAAAATCACGGTACCAGTACGCAGAGAGGTAAATAAATAGTTCTGTAAATACCTGCATAAAGAAAGAGCAAATAGAGCAACGGAAACGAAATCTGTGGATTTATAATTTGAAAAATTATAAATTAATATTGATTTGGGATATTTTGTTTGCTTACATATTTTTTTCTGAGTGATGGAATTTATCGAAGCGTGCCGCAACTTGGCGTAGGAATACAAGGGACGATGATCTCTCAAAGGGAACACGAGCGAAAAACTTTGTTGTGAGAAAATCAGGTCGCGGGAGCAATGGATTACATTTTAAACCGAAAATAACTTAAGAGAACCGCGTGGATCTTAAATAAGTCGTTTGTTGGAATATTTATCAATTATGCCGTGAAAATGTGAATCAATTTGTGCAGAAATTAATATTTTGGAGTTATGGGGCACTTATTACTGTGTCTTGTGTGTGTATTGGCATTCGTTTTGGACACACAAGGTATGCAAATGAACCAACATGCATCTTTCGTATTGCACGACGTCTTGGGGACTTCAGTTTAATACAGAACTCTAATTTTAAAATATTTAACTAACTTTATCCATAGTTTCATAAATGACAGATAATGATATCTTAAAATTTTAATTGTTAAAAAATATATAGGCCTACAAAAACTTTTTTGAAAAGTTTTTAATTTGGCCTAGGGTTAATATAATATACATTTTTCTGCATTCAAATTCATAATAAATACTGCATTATTCCAAATTTTTGCATAGAAGATCTTCTTTTGAGTTTAAATTTGTGTTTTTGATTTAAAAAAAAACAAAACATGTTCATAGCTAGTTAAATTAATTTATAGTTGTTGTTTTTCCGAAATGTAAAACTTTTGATTATTCATAATTAATTGACAGTTGTTTGTTTTCTTGATTATATACAGGTTTCACCTCCTGTGTGCCAGATCCCTGTTTGAATGGAGGCTTATGTCAAACAAGTGGCAGCAAAAGTTATTGTATGTAAGTGTCTACAGGTCATCCAAAGGTCATTGCTATGGCAACTCAATGATTTGACATTGACCTTGAAGAAAAAGTGAAGAGTCAAGTTGTCAGAAAGTGGATGATCATTCTTTTTTTTTTTTTTTACAATGTATTCCTCAAGATTTATTCCAAATGTGAGATTCTACATGAAAAGTAGTCTCTTATATTGATAATAGGCAGAAATTTTAAAAGAAAATGTTTTGTGCACTTTAGTATGCAGTTTAGTTGAGATTTGGAAAGTGAGTTGTAGAGAAACAATATTAAATAACAAAAAAATTAACTGAAATCTTTTATCACGAACATAGCTTCTCTAATGCTGTTTAAGCATGTTAAGTTTCACAACTCATGGAATTGCTTGGATACCTAAATATTGTTCCTTTTTAAGAACATCTTTAATGCCATATGAATGTTTTATATCAGCTGATTCATAACTTTATGATGTTACTGAATGCTGAAATGAGCTAGATCAACAGTCAGTGGATGCTTTTTTACCCTCTTCATTAATCATCAGTAATTTAGAAGTTTATCTGTAGAATTTTGTAATGAAGTTGGGGTTTTTGGCATATTTACAGTTTCTTGTTTAGAACTTCTTTTTTATTATGCGAATCCTTATAAACTAGAAGATATGGCGTCAGGAAGTTAAGAGCCAACAGTAATCATTATTTATTCAGAACAGAATTGAAATTAAGGATTTGTTGTTCCAACAAATATTTACGGGCAAACATAATGAAACATATCTATCGTGGTACCAAGATTTTTTTCCCCTCAAACTTTATCAGTAACCTTTTATTTTCATACAGACTCCAGTGTTCATATAACAGTAACCCAATACTGTTCTGTTGATAATCAAAGTAACACATCCCATTTGGAATTGTTTTTTTCATAATTGGAATTTTATATCAGATTTAGCAGCCTGAGAAGTAGTTTTGTTTAAACCAACTATCTTTGGTCATCTCCAGTTGTCTTTGACAGCTAGGGTATATTGGTATTTAACATTGTAACGTCTTCTTTGTCAAGGGCTTTAACGAATTAACGTCCGTTCTATACCTCCGGGAATCAAGGCTTTGTACTCTTAAATCTGTTTTCAAAACCTAAAGAGATTTGTATACTATGTTAAACTTAAGATAGGTACAGATATTTTAATTTATTGTGTAAACAACTTAAATGCGACTCGTATTGGTTTTTTGTTGAATACTCAGACAAATGTTTCAAGTTATTTTCTCATCACACTTTAGGGGATTTTAGGATTCTACAGACGGTATTAAAGCTGCACAAGTATTTGTATCTTAGTTTTTTCAGACAAAAGTACTGTTATAAATATCTTCAATGATAAAGTGGAGACTTTCCCTTGGCTTAAAGCTTTATACTATTGAAAACAAGACGAACAGACAAGAGAAAGCTTTAATCATAGTATTTAATTGGGTTCATCTTTTGTATTACTTTTGGTATGAAAGGAAAAAAAAAGTTTGGTGTTCTTTGAATGTTCGTTGTACCTTTAATAGTCACCTTAGGCAGAGGAATTCATTTTCAGGCTGAAATTGATTAAATAGTCACAGCACTTCGACATGTGCCTGTGCCATCAGCTGTGAAATAAGGGGATTGTTACTCTAAGGAAGGTGACAGGTGCACTCCGTAAAAACCTGGCCCATCTCAGGTAGAGTCCCGTTTAAAGGCACATCTGTTGGTCGGCAATCTGTTGCATTTAGATTCAGGTGAATCTCTAGTGAAGGAATCTCAGAAATATGATGAATTGTCATAATTCTATAGGCTGATAAAAAAAGGGAATGGATAAAAGGTGTATTGTCAATGTTTATTATTAACTGAAAATATTGGCTGGCAGGTGCATCAATGTTGCTAAGTCCCATTTTTTTTATTGGAAATGTTTTATCTGACAAGTTTGATACCTTAAATTTAATATTGGTTGTGTTGAAATTTAGACACTTAAAAAAAAAACTTTTTTCTTTTCATATATGGAATAAGTGTTCGGTTTCATAAGACAGGATGGAATGAATTTTAATGAAAAACAGAGAAGTCTCAATTTCTTTGTCCATTCTTCCATAGGTAAATAAGGTCTTGTCTAGCCCCATGGTCAACATCTGTCACCAGATTTTGGAGGGAAATGGGACCACACTCCACCTTGTTTGACCATGTATAGGCATTAATAAAAGTTCCTTTGTGAGTGCGGATGGCAAACATCCTAATTACTAGCGATGTGTTGACACTGGCTTTGGTGTTTGATTTTGGAAAGCTACACACAGGAACCTATTTTTTGTTTGATTTTCATTAATATGTGTGTTTACTGGTGTTTAGAAGAATCTTTGATGCTGTACTTTAATAATGTAGACTCGCTAACGACTGAAAACATGATAGAATGCATTCTACCTGTATATTGCATGATAAGTGCAGAAACTAATCCTGGATTTAAACTTCAAAAGTTAACACCGGTCAATTATTTTTTGTGCAGTGTGAATTTAAAAAATGACTCGACGTTTATTTCAAATAATAGGTACCTATTATCATGCTTGATAAACATAATAGAGAACAATTTTTCCATTCTTGATAATCAAACAAAGGAAAAGGAAAGGAAAAGGAAAATCTGATTTTAATGAAGTAATCTATTCATAAATTTTGATATAAGAGCCCTAGTCTTTGGTAAACTTTAATAATGGAGTAGTTATAGGTAAATAATAGAAGTTATTTGATCCTGGATAAAGCAAGAATTGGATGGAACATAGGAGAAACGAGAACAGAGGAAGACTTGTATGGAGAAAACTTGACATCCTGGGAGTGGTGCGGGGGGCATCTGATACTGAATTTCCATGAGATAGAGGGAGGGGGCACCTGATACTGAATTCCCATGAGATAGAGGGAGGGGGCACCTGATACTGAATTCCCATGAAATAGAGGGAGGGGGCACCTGATACTGAATTTCCATGAGATAGAGGGAGGGAGAACCTGATACAGAATTCCCATAAGATAGAGGGAGGGGGCACCTGATACTGAGTTCCCATGAGATAGAGGGAGAGGGAGGGGGCATCTGATACTGAATTCCCATGAGATAGAGGGAGGGGGAGAGGGCACCTGATACTGAATTCCCATGAGATAGAGGGAGAGAGAGGGAAGTGGTGTGGGGGCATCTGATACTGAATTCCCATGAGATAGAGGGAGGGGGCACCTGATACTGAATTTCCATGAGATAGAGGGAGAGGGAGGGGGCACCTGATACTGAATTCCCATGAGATAGAGGGAGAGGGAGGGGGCACCTGATACTGAATTCCCATGAGATAGAGGGAGAGGGAAGGGGCACCTGATACTGAATTCCCATGAGGTAGAGGGAAGGGCACCTTATACTGAATTTCCATGAGATAGAGGGAGAGGGAGGGGGCACCTGATACTGAATTCCCATGAGATAGAGGGAGAGGGAGGGGGCACCTGATACTGAATACACATGAGATAGAGGGAGAGGGAGGGGGCACCTGATACTGAATTCCCATGAGATAGAGGGAGGGGGAGGGGAGCAGCTGAAACTGAATTCCCATGAGATAGAGGGAGGGAAAGGGGGCATCTGATATTGAATTCCCATGAGATAGAGGGAGGGGAAGTGGGCAACTGATACTGAATTCCCTTGAGATAGAGGGAGGGGAGTGGTGCAGCAGACACCTGATACTGAATTCCTATGAGATAGAGGGAGGGGAGTGGTGCAGGAGGCATCTGATACTGAATTCCTATGAGATAGATGGAGGGAAGTGGTGCAGGAGGCATCTGATACTGAATTCCTATGAGATAGAGGGAGGTGAGTGGTGCAGGAGGCATCTGATACTGAATTCCCATGAGATAGCAGGGTTTAAAATTAACTGAAATTTCCACTAGCCATGTGGGCTCATAACATTTCAAATTTAGGAGCCCACAGCTCAATTTGTTAACCCACAGTCAGTTTCTGTGATTAAAAAAAAAAATTTCCTTTTTTTTGGATACTGGGACAAAAGTAGATACAAATAAAATATGATTGTGTATAAATACATTTGTTTAAAATTGGAGTTCTTACTTTATAAAAATCAAATGTCATATGAATATTTAATCAAAGGAAATAAAATTGAATTCAAGCATCAATTTTACTATCCTTTTTTACATGGTACGTATACATGTATTTGCTCCTTCAAATTCAACTGATGCAGTAACAATGGTACATAAATAAGATTTTCAAAGTTAAATATTTTAACTGTAACATATCTGAAATAGTAATAAGTAAAAACACTTATAATTTATATGAATAGGTAGTTTGGAGTTATTAAAATTGTATATCTTTCACGTATCAACCATGTACAGAAGAATGGACGAAATTCGGATTAGGAAAAAACGATCGTTTTAGGGCTTTCACAAATCATGTACTACTCTTGAATGGAAAAGATGAAGGATATTTACGAACAATAGGACCATGCTGCTGTGATTTATTTCATTGGTTGGGAGTTTTGAATGAAAAACCTGTGGAAATGTCTGTTTTTCAGTAAGGGGACTGGTCAAATGAATTCGGCTCCTGCAGAATTTTCATTCGCCATGTGGGCGAGCAAGTTATAAATTTTATGAGCCCACACCAAATTTTACTCGCAATTTGCGAGTGGGCAAGCATTAATTTTAAACCCTGGATAGAGGGAGGGGGCACCTGATGCAGAGTTCCCATGAGAAAGAGGGAGAGGGAGGGGGCACCTGATACTGAATTTCCATGAAATAGAGGGAGAGGGAGGGGGCACCTGATACTGAATTCCCTTGAGATAGAGGGGGGGGGGGCATCTGATGCTGAATTCCCATGAGATAGATGAAAGGGGAAACACTAATACTCAGATAAAAGTGTATAAAGAGAACTTGGATCTTAATTTGAAAGTGTTTTTTTATATATCCTTTGTATTTCTTTGTATTTGTTTGTGAGGAATTTTTTTTTTTTGCAGTATAAATAATATTGCAGTATCGGACTTTAAGATTGA